CGTTAAGTATTACGAAAATTGCAAAATGGTACAGGACTTTTCCATTCATCTCGATCCGTTCTACCTTCTCAAAAATTTTGTCGGATATGGAAAGATTCACCCTGTATACACGTCTGTACATACATCGTATACCTACTGTACGTACGAATGGTCCACTCTAGTATACATAAAAATGTCACGTCTAAAGCGGGTTTTATATACATACAATATACATATAATACATATTAGCATCCGGATATCGGGTAGGTATTCGCGAAGAATTTTTCAATTAGACAATTATTCGTCACAAACCCCTTGCGCTTAAGCTTTTTGTCTCGGTGATACGAGTACTTAGAGAAACGGCTGGCATTCATATATTTTTTTTTTCGTAAGATGGATGTTGCAATAATCGACAACACTCGAGCGACGTAAATTCTTCGAGAATTGGAAAATTTTAAATAGACTTGTTCGGATTTGATAAGTCAATGATTGCAAAGCGAATGAAGTAAAAATGAATTGTTAAACCATTTAAATAAAATTAAGTTGCAAGAGTTTTAGTAAAATTATATGTTTTGTTTTATTTTCTTTTTAGTGTGCCGTATCAGGTTCCTCCGACGTTGACGGGCACTTAAAAAAGAGTTATTCTGTTATTATAACTATTTTGTTTAAAATTCTCTATACAGCGATCCTAGAAAGCAATAATCAGAATAGTTTCCGCTGCCTTCTTCGTTTGTTTTATATTTTACCAATATCCAATCAAAAAAGATGATTAAATACGGAAAAGTTAGCATCAGTAATGATTATTGCGATATCCTAGTCGTGAGAAATGTCTATATATTATATTGTCAATAGGAAACAGTCTAATTTCTATGAAATTTTCATGATATTCAACCGTTTTAGAGTTCCATTTAGCTCCAAAATGTGGAGCGCTAATCAATGTAACGAGCTCTGATCGTGAGTTTTAAATCTTCTGATTCCTAAATACGAAAGTTCTTATGTTTAATTTCAGAAGATTTATCAAGTCCTAAGCTCAGATTTCTCTTCGAAGAAAGAGATGTCGGCAATAGAAAAATTGCATCTTTTTGTTGAAAAAAAGAAGAAACATTGTTTCTTCTTAGCAACGCGTGACCTATGCTGAAACATTAAATGAAAGTACACATGAAAGTACATTGAAAGTAAGTCATTATTATAATATACATTCATTCGTACGTACATACATGCGTAAATGCGTTCTATTTTCTACCATCGAAATTGTAATAATTGCTCTTTAGATGCTCTTTATGCACGCTGCAGGGTAAATGAAGATATGCTCGTAAGAAATAAGTGTAAAAAAATGCACGTGAAAGTGAATCTACATTATTGTCCATGATTATCGAAATTATCTTGAACATTTGTAATGCATTTAATACATTGGAATACAAATCTTTTATAAATTTTTCATTTTTATGAGTAAAGTTTACATAAAGTCTACATAAAAATTCAGATAAACTTGTTAAGATAACGATCAGAAAATTGGAATAAAGTTTGAAATGTTATCTTTTTTTAATTCAAGTGTTTTGTTATGAAGGTGATGAAATCTTTCATCATGCTTTATCTCGGTTTCGTTCTTTTGCTTAATAATCGTGTGATGATGTATTATTTTATACGAGATTGAATATTTTTTCGCCAGTGTTGAACAAATATTTGGGATTTATTTCTATCTTTAACGTAATACTTGACATATACTCTCTTTGCTCATGTTCACGTAGAAAAGTAAGAATCCTTGAATAAAATAAAAGCAACTGGTTAAAATGTCAATCAACGTAATATTAGACTGAAGAAAATATCACTACGCTGTAATCGCAAAGCATTTCTTAGGCCGAGAAAGTAATATTGCAACCTGAAAGTATTCTTTAAAAATTACGAGGCGTTATTGTTGATCAATGATTATTAATCCGTTACATTGCTGAATAGTATCTAATTACTGTTATCTGAGTAAACCTTGAATTAGTCTTAAGCCAGAAAGAAGTACGAAATCTTGTTATTAGAATGAAAGTTATATTGATATTTTTAATAAAAATATGTCACACAAGATAATAATGGTCGAATATTAACTCTCGTGCACATTACTAGCAAGTATGAAAAAACATATCAGCAAAAACATATTGCCTCACTCCGATACTTGTTATCAAGGTAGCAGCGAAATAGGTTGATTTGAAATCAGAGTAAAAACAAGGAAACGCCCGTCACCAGTAGTGAAATGCGTAGAAGCAATAATGACTATTGCGCTGATAGTTGTGACGCAAGCTGTAGATTAGTAACGATCTCACAGAAAAGGGACAAATGTAAAATACATTAAAAATCTAAATATACCGTTTTATACGTGAAAAATGGAACGAAACCTGTTGTGTGTTCTTACTCCATTAATCATTAGTGTATGTATAATATTTAACCATTACCTAACATAAAATCTTGAAAATTCGCTGACTGCTACTTATACTTTTACTCCATTTAATTGTTCCATGTATATATCTAATTGTCAATTTTTACGTATCATGTAATTTTGTGATATTGTCATATTTATTACATATTTATCTGTGTACAAAACGAATACTCTTTCAGTGGATCAACATCTTAACGGACGTTTATGAAAAATTAAATTTTTTGAAGCGTTAAAGCAATTGGAATTGATTTTTAGTGTAACATTTTATAGTATACAATAATACTAAATAAATACAATACTATTATATGATAATATATGTATAATATTTTGCAATAATACTGAACAAATTATTAGGTGAAAAGAAAGTTTCTTTACTACACAGTTTAAATACGTGGTTTTATAAATAATAAAGTGCAAATATATGTCATAATAAATAAATACTTTATAGCAGTTAGTTTCTTTCACAGGTATCTTTTTAAATTTACTCGAATGATAACATATGAAGTCGTCCTTTTCTCTATAGCTATTTTTCATCACATATGTTTGTCAATTATTGAAAAATAAATTAACTTGCTTAAGCAAAAAATAAAATCACAAAAATTAATATTAATAAATGGTCTCCATTAATATCGATTTTATTGGTACTATTAGCTTCATTGTTACGTAATAATTGGTACACGATATTGATAGTTTTACCCAAGTGCCTTATCTATTAAACACATATTATTGAACTATTTTTGAAAGTATATAAATAACACAAATAATATTATAATACCAATTGTTTGAAAAATTATCAGCACTTGTGTGAGTCTTTCATTGCATTTACTTTTCCACTTTCTACTTTAGTTTCTTTTTAATCCAGCATTTACCTTTGGGAAAAAATATTTCACCGTGATAATTTTTCTGCAGTTAGAAAAATTAGTGACAGCATAAAAACTTTTTTAGCAATAAAATCTTCCTATTGACATTAGTCTTAACACGGTCCTTGTGACGGAATAGAAACTAAGGCAAGGGACTGGCGTCATAATAACATTCTTCGTAACATTTTTATGAATATGCATTTATTACACACAGAGGATAAATACAGATTTTGCATCTGAAACAGAGAGAAAAGCAAATACTTTTTGAAGACTCGTCGACATCGCGAATTCAAAGATCAGGAATATACCGGGTCATCTAGAAGGAAAGTAGTTATGCAAATCAAAGTAAAACAGAAGTTTATACAACGTCGATCGGAAACGGGTTAGCAGCGGCCGGCGTGGGACAAAGGGAAAGTCTAAATTCGACAAACTGACGAAAATTAATAGAACGCTTCCTCATTGACAAAGCAAGTTGAACGTATACGGGGAAGCACATAAAGAGGGAGAATGCGACGAGAAATAAGCGAGTCCCAGGGAGATGTAGAGAGGAAGAGAGAGAGAGAGAGAGTGAGAGAGAGGGGGGGGAGAGGAAGAAGGGAAATTTGGATTACGCGTGATCGCCACTGAAGTAACTACTCTGCATCATGAACAGTTTGTCAATGGGATTGTTGATAGCCGCGTGCAGGCTCTGCGACAGCGACGGGGTGTCGTGCGATGATGAGCCGTGGTGGGGATGCGAGGCACCCTGATGACTGCCGTCCGCGCCGCCGCCGTCGTTCTCGCCGATGTCGAAGCCGCCGTCCGTACCGTCCAGGGACAGGTCGCTGCTGCAGAAACTCTCCCCCGAGTGGCCCGGGTACGCGTCTGGAAGTAAAGTAGAAAACGCATTTCGTCGTTTCTCGCGGAGCACCTCGACGCAGGTGCGACGGTACTTCGGAGCGAGAGCAAGGTTGTCACTGAATGGCACGCAAGTTGGAACAATGGGAAGAACTCTAGCCGCAGACGCATGATCAGATGCAAAAATCAGAGAGCGCAGAACAGAAATATTTATCATTTTCGGTAATTAAAGTATTTACATCATTTTTATCCATTGTCTTGACATTGGCCCGTATTTTGAACCCTCTTTTATCAATGCAAGCGCATCTAAAAGTGGCTAACAAGCCTTCTGATCGGCTGCAAGCCACTTTATCGATAAAAGAGGATTCAGAATACGGGTTCCGGATTCTGAGTTTAAAGAGACGTGATGTAGTAATCATTTTTTTTACATTTATTTTGTAGAATAATTTTCACATGTTATAAAATGAAAATAGTGTAAATATATTTTAAGACAACTAATTGGAGAAATGTTATTTAAATTATATCTTTTGCTGAAGAAGAGCAGGAAAATTTTTTGATGGATGGTAGTTAAATATTAAATTTGAGAGATTTGAGTGCGGTCCGCGATAAAACCATTGAAAATTCCGGACCCGAGGTATTAAAAGGAAATTGTCGTTTCTACATAGAAACTAGAAAAAATATTTGATTCAAACCTGCGTGGGCGCGTGACATATATAGGATGTTCTAAAAAAGGCTGTATATAAAGCTTTTATCTTTGATCTGAAAAAAGTAGTTAAAGTAAACAAATTTTGCCTATCTTTATACGGAAACACTTTTTGAAATTTATATGTTCGAGTTGCAGTTGTGGCTGAGCATTTTAATATTCAACGTTAAAAATTCTATTTTAAATCCCTAAAATCTTTAATGACTAATATAATAAAAACAAATAAAAACGTAAAGCTTTTACTAAAAAAAAATAATTGCGGATCACAATTGACACGCATTTCCTTTGTTGCATCTCACATTTCCAGCGCATCTCGTATTTCTAAGAGTGATTAGCTTTATCCATTCTTTTCGATAATCGTTATATTGCGATCAATCATGCTGCCAAAAATTCGAGATGTAACAGAAACGTTGATTGCAACCTGCAATTAATTTTTCCAGTTAAAGTTCGGCCGGCTATCTTCCTAAGTTCATTTTGTTAATTATTAAAGGATTTGAAATTTAAAATTAAGTTATTAAACATTAAAACGCTGCGGCAATTTCAACTCACAAATTAAAAGAAAAAGTTTCAACATAAAAAGTTTTAATGAACAAAATTTGTTGGCAATAGAACTTTTTCCACATCTGAAAACTCTGTCTCGTTATCGAGTGCTCGATTTTTTTAGTAAAAGACTCGACTGCAGATCAGCCGGAAGTTCTGATCCGAAAATATCATTCGCGTGATTCTGGGACACCTTCTAAACAACCGTCGGGACATAAACGCGTTACGCACATACCGCCTGTGACACCGGTGCGCAAATGAGTTTCTACGGTGAGTAAAGACTTACCGTCGGGCGAGTACGGGTTATTGGGGTTGAGCGGTTGGGTGGCTGAGGGGAAGCTAGAAGATTCCCCATCGCGCATGTTCAGGGCGTTCAAGTAATGACCTGCGAACGAGATTAGACAATTGACATTGAACTCACTCGTTTACCAAAGCCCCATTAACCAGTCTTCGCAAATTCGCGAAGTCTTCCGATTCGCGCGCGTTCTCAACTCATTCGCAATTTTACATCATCTTTTGGAAAATACCAAATAACTTGAGTAGAACGTTAAAAATTGTTAAAATTTGTTAAAGCCAGGACCAAATCGTGGGGGGGAAAAAAGCGTAATGCATAGAAGCAGAAATATTTTCGACATTTTATGGTCAGAATCGGAAAGGAAATTTCAGGATCCGGGATTGAGGAGTGCGCGCATAAAAAAATGGCGGTTGAATTCTCGATAGAATTCTGGACTGACAGGGTAAAAAGGGCAGCTTACTGTGATCGCTGTGCGGGCTTTCTGTCCTCCGCTCTTCCTTTGGCTCTTTATCGGATCCGGGCTCCGTTTTGGCTTTCCGCTGAAGCTTCTTCATCTTCGCGCGCTGATTCTGGAACCACACTTGGACCACGCGCACGCTGAGACCGGTGTCCTTGGCGAGCGCCTCGCGTACCTTCCTGCAAGGCTTCGGTGACACCTCGAAAGACGCCTTAAATTGACGTCGCTGTGCCGACGTAAGGATCGTCCGCGGCCGTTTTGGACCCCGACGACCGTCCCGTGGTCGATTCTCGTCCAATAAGTCGTCATCTAACAATACGATTTATTGTGTGTATTTATATACCTATATTTTACGTGGTACGCGACGGCGCTCTGCTCTTATTTCTTATTAGTCTCTTATTTACAGTAGAGCCTGGGTTATCCGTCCTCGCTATCAAGCGCTATCTCTTCTCAGTCAGTCTAAGGCCGGTATTCATAGTCGATTCTTATTTCAAAATCATCTTAAGTGTTGTCTTAAGAGGCTAATACAGCTCTGCGATTGGTTAAAAACACATTAAGAGTATACTTAAGACGATCTTAAATATAAGAACGGACTATGAATACCGGCCTAAGGCTGGATTCACACCTTGGCAGGAAAGCAGAAAGCAGAACAGCGGAAATCGAATCAGAACCAATCCGAGCTCTCGCTGGTAGTCGACGGTTTCTACTTTCTGCCAGCAGAGTGTACTGTTTACTACCAGCGCGAGTGCTGATTGGCTCCTGGTTTCTGCTCTTCTGCCTAGGTGTGAATCCAGCCTTAATCAGTTCACGTAGTGTTTTCGTATGTCATGTTCAAAATGTTATGTCATATTTAAAATGTTATTTCCGAGTTACAAATGAGTTGGTTTCCTTTTCTCTGGAAAACTTGTTGCTAGTTTTTCGAGATCCTATTTCGTACCAAAGTATTGTTATGTTTTATTTGATGAAAATCATAAGAAGAACAACGTTGCTCATACGCGCAGAGTTTAAGGATATAAATAACATTTTTGTTTAAAATATATTTTTTTATAAAAGAAAATATAATCTCGGTTATCCGACTTTTACGATTATTCGATCCATCGTCGGTCCACATTAGGTATAATCCGAGCTCTACTGTATTCAAATTTCTACTTTTCAATATTAACATCTCGTAGCGACAAAGTAAATAAATAAAACATACAAAAAGACAGAATTAAGTTCAGGGTACGTTTCTCTTTACAAGTTTAAATCTTACGTGCTGCAGATTACACACGCACACACACACACACACATTCGCGTACCTTATCATATACAATATTAATATGTTTTAGATGTATTTTGGCAAAACAACACTTTATACAAATTAAAGGCCAATTATCAAATTATGTATTCCTCGTGAAACACTCAACGGTGCAAGACAGACGGTAAATAATAAGAGCGAGTAAATTATTGTTGCGCGAATACCGTTTCCGTGTTCCATGTCACAGACGGATTGACCGTCAGACGCAAGCAAGAGGCCAGCGGTCGAAGTCGAGCAGTAGATACGGGCTGGTTTCGATCAGGTAGCGATCCGACAAAGCACAGGCCACGCCTACCGTGCAACATATGTACCGCGGCGCGGCAACATGTCGGCCGCGAACAAACGCACCGGCCATACGCGCGCGGATTCCATTTTCCGCACGGGATATTTCAAGAACTCTGGGAATTCCATTGTTAAAAAATTGTTTCGCCCCGTGGGAACACGGAGCGCGGTGGAATTGTCGATCAAATCAATGAGCGCGATCGCCGTTAAATCGCGGATCATTCATTGTTTTATTAATAGAAGCGCGATGAGCAATTAAAACCGACGCGGCGGAAATATCTGCGCGATGCTGATATAATGTGAAAAAATTTGTTTCCAGCGGCTCATTGCCCCGTGAAAAGTTTCAGATTTATTTGTAAAATTTCATCAGAATCGTATCCAACATTTTGCTGTTATGTGTAACTCCATGTATTCATATCTCATATGCGTAATATACAGGAAGAGAGAGAGAGAGAGGGAGAGAGAGAGAGAGAGAGAGAAATGTATAAAGAAATATAAGGTGGCTCACAAACTGCTCTTTCATCATTTTCTATCGTCATCGATAACACATAAAATGTCGCGTCCCGAAACGCGTGCCATAAATTTATGTCGGGATATCGGCCGGATAAACGCCGCGGAATAAATTCCACATCTTTCTTGTTACCAAGATATTTTCACGGTATTTTGATTATGCGAGGAAGGATTGGCGAATTCAACGGTATCTAGTTCAGGACGCCGCGGATCGCACGTTCAAATATCGCTCCCGGTCGTTTGTCGCTTGATTGAAATGTAATTACCTTGAAAAGGAACAGCCCTGTTTCGAAATTCCTGTAGATTTTTACTTTGGATGTCTTTAGATTGTAGTACAACCTGCGAACAATGCAACAAGGTATGTACAATGCGTTTCTCAACGAGTTTCCATTTTATTGTTATTCGATGTATTTTCAAGCATTCCGCGGTAATGGTCCGGGGGAGGGCTTTGTTAAATTATCTCGCGGCCAAAAACCCGTATCGCTCGCCAATCTCGATTCCCGATTCATTAATTTCGGAACGGCGCGCGTCCAATCGATACGCGGTTCAATCGCGGGACAAAGACGATACGAAAGATAATCGAGCAGTTTGTCTCGCCGGAGAAAACATTATGGTGGACGTAACATAACATCTCCTTTCGGTTCATTCTGCACGAGTGAACTACACGTCGAGATATTTACTTGACTAAGCTGCTCGCAGAGTCGCTCAATTGTAGCGTCAGATAATGCTTCTAGTTAGCGTAAGGGATGAAAACAGAGCTTGCGATTCACACAGAGAGATATATATATATATATATATTGTAGAAAATCATCTCATGCAACACGATACGCATCACACATCTTCATTCATGCTCAGCACTCGTTTACGATACATATGTAATATATTTCGCGTAAGGAGGGCGTCCTCGTTATACAAGAAAAATAATTATTACGTCCGTGCATCAAGCTTTAAGTCAGGGTGCAATTTCTAGCAGGCTGCAACACATTGAATGTCCTTTGTTTCCGCTGTGTTATTTGTACATAAAATTTATATGAGAAAAACGTTTATTATATTATAATTTATTATATTTGTTTTTACAACAACGCGATCACTTCAAATTTCGCTTTAACCACGAGGGTGGGTTGAAAAGTTTTGAGCCTCAACAAGATGCCACTTCAGTACTGCGATTGCACATGCTTTGAAGGATATAGCTCGGGAAATTTCAGCCATTTTGGACTCTCAGTTGTTGCACGACAGTCCTTTGTGTCGGTGGATGTTAGTATTTTCGTAAACATGGAAGAAATCGAATATCGGGCCAAAATTCACGAATTACAGCTCGAACTGATTGACCACCCCCGGTATTCACCAGATCTAGCCCCCAGTGACCTTTTTCTGTTTCCTAAACTCAAAGTTTGGCTCGGAGGACAGAAATTTTCATCGAACGAGGAGGTCGTAGCATCCGTAGATATGCCTGTTTTGCAGAGCTGGACGCCAACTATTATTTGGATGGATTAAAGCGGTTGGAACATCGCTGGATCAAGTGTATCGACTTAAAAGGAGACTATGTCGAAAAATAAAAGTGAGTTCGACCGGAAAAAAACAATCGTTTCTATGTTAGGCTCAAAACTCTTCAACCCACCCTCGTACTTTGTCATTATTTAAGAGGATCCGATTGTATACTTTCCACTTTTGATCAACCCCTTTCCCCTTACTCGTGGACGTTGGTGAAACTTGTAAAAAGTCGAGTCTTTCTGTGCACGGTCAGAGAATAACGGTGGCTAGGTGAGCTATTGCTCAAGACGGAAGTGAAGGCCTGCGAATCGAGCGGCGACTCGAAACTCAACCCAAACGGGACGCAGTATACACGTACACGCACCACAGAATACACGAGACAGGCGACACTCACCTTGCGGGCTATTTAGGAACAGCTCGTGCTCAAAGTCCCGTCTGCAGATCGGCTGGCCTTGCCTGAGGATATAGTGGGCGCCTCGCGGCAACGACTGGCCGCACATGCAGCACGCGAAGCACTCCACGTGGAAGATCAGGCCGGACACCGGCCGCATCACCAGGTCGGAGCAGCTGATCTTCTCCATGCACCGCGCGCACTTCACCCCGAAGATCCTCTCGTAGTCGGAACGGCAGTAGAGCTTGAGGTCGCGTATGAAGCACGAGTGCGACAGCATCGTGCCGCATGCCGTGCACGAGAGGCACTCCTCGTGGTAATTCCTCTCGGCGACTCGCATCACGTACTTGTCGGCGATGGTGCGGCCGCAGCCGGCGCAGATCGTCTCGAGGAGGCCGGACTCCGTCTTCACGGAAACGGACGGCTCTGCGGGAACAAACGGGCCGACGCGTTACAGCGGCATTCGCAATTCTCGCTGTTCGCGTAGGCCGATCAGTTCGAGAATCCTCGAAATGGAAACCGATCGGATCCTCGAGTCTTACCGCGGGCTAGGATGCAAGTGGACGGAAGTACAGTAGTACAGATACACTGCGGTCCGCCTTATCGTCCGCTGTGTCTTTCTCGCGAGACGCGATCGCGTGCCTCTCGTAGATTTGATATTCTCTTCGCTTGTAAATTCGTCGAATATCTAATGACTCTTTTACTTCAAATTGATTGATTTATGCTTTCGGCCTTAATGTACGCAAGATATGAGTATGTGTTTACTTAATATTCTCATAAGAATACACAATTAGCACAAAAACAACTAATCCGGTAATTTTAAGTAACTCAACTTTTTAAATAATTTGAACAATACAAAGTTCCCAGTAAACTGATAAACTGATAAATTTATGTAATACAATAAAAATCGCCGATACGTGGTTTAATCTTCCAAAGAGTTTTAAGTAATGTTAAATGTTTTTAAAAAGAAAAATTGAAAGATTAAGATGTAACGCATGTGTATAACTAACGATAAGCATATTGTATGATTATTTGGAAAAGGATTAGAAGTATAAGTAAAACAAATGTGATTCGTTCTCAGTTCGAACATCTGCCTCTGTAGTTTTCAAATTGAACAAAATTCGCGATTCTTGGTTTCAGGACATAGCAATAATAGTGTTATTTATTAATTTAAGTTATAGTTTTTATCTTATAATTTTTATTGTACAACACATCTCTTTTCAGTAATCTCGCCAGTTTTTACTTGTCACCATGAGATCAACTTCTATTTTTAACAATTATATCGTATGCAATAATCGCAGCGCTGTTTACAGCAATTTTGAAGTCTCGCTTCTTTGAACGATGTCTTCTTAAACGATCACACTTTTGTCGTTAAAAAAATTTTGTAAAAATAATAACTACTACTAATTCGCGATACAGTTATTTTCTAAAGATATGTGTATCTTTCTAAAGATACGTGTACCTCTGAAAATACATATTTCTCTATACGGTTTTTGGGAAAAAATGGAAATATCTCATTATATGTGTCTCGATCATGTAAACTCTAATTATATCCAATTCCAAAATCATCAGATCTTCAGAGATCTGACACTTTTATTGAATATTCAATGCTATTATCTATTGAGATCTAATTATCCTCTCAGGACATTTAATTATATAGATTTAGTTAGAGGAAAGTGTCAAATCTCTGATGATCTGGTGATCTTCAGAATTGGAACTCATGAAATATAATTAGATATTACACGATTGAGAAATATGTAATGAGATTTATTCCAGTTTTTCCCGGGTTTTGATAAAACTAATTTGTTCTCACCTGCATTATTATTATCAGTTGTGGGCCGAAAAGGAATAGGTGGAACCGCTGGCAAGGGTTGGCCCGGTTCGTTTTGACGATTGAAAGAACCAGGCGCTGGAGTATAAAATTCCAACATGGTGTCTCCTCACTGGAACCTTGAAGATAAAAAGTTTTTCAGCTGCAAGGAATTTTAAAGTTTTTGCTGCAAGCTTTCGCTGGAATTCTAAACACTTGAAGGCCACACACCAATATCCAAATAAAAGTCTTTAGAAGAGACGGGTTAAATCTCCGAAAGAAAAGTTGTTCTTTTCAAGAAAACTTTTTCTCTTTTTTTTCCTCCCCCCGTCTATTTCTACTTTTGACATCTGACTATTTCGAATATCTCCAGTTGACTCTCAAGTCCAGGTAAGTCCGTTCTCTGACTCAAATCTTTCGCCTGATAGACAACAGAAGGTCACATTTTACTTGCTTCTCGTCTCGCCAACGGGTGCTTCAAATCGTCCAGTTTCCTCAGTACCACTTATCGTCGAAATCCGAATGTCGCGTGCGACGTTGTTTTACGCTGAATATTTATAGGAGAACCACCACCTCTTTAGGTCAACACTCCAGTCAATCGGTCCAGGCCGAAATTAAATCAGCCCCTTACACCCCGGTCGATCTCGTCCCACGATCGCGGATCTTGAACACTTGTCCCTCCGGCCAGAGAGTCGACGGCAGGAACCTCACGACAATCGTCCTTAGCCCTCACCGGTCCTTCGATACGCCGCACGTCAGCCGAGTCTCATGACGAACCACAGGGGTGGTTGCTGCAGCGTGCTAGTTTGACGCGACGATCTTCCCGGACGACCCCGGGGCGCGAGGTGCCACGGCCGTGTCGCATTCTGGACACGAAGACGACGGCTCTCTCGATGTTTCCGCGCCCGTTCACTCGCTCATCCACCTAGTCCGCTATCGGCACCCCGAGCGCACCCCCGGTTTCGTACGTGTCATCAGCGCGAGCTTCGTCGCTTTTTTGACGAGACCGAGACCCACCGACTTCGCCGACAGCGGAAAATCATCCCCCCTCTCCCTGCCTCCTGCCCTTCCTCCAACCCCATCCCCCACACGACGCAGCTTTCTCTACCCTTCCTGTTTGTGTAGGCGCGCGGGTGTGTGTCTCATCTTCGTCATTGGAGATAGATGAGGCATCGACGCGAGAGTGAAGAGGGCGGGTTCATCCCCCTCCGGCGCAGAAGTCGATGGTGGGAGCGCGATTGGCGTTGCTCGGAACCGCCCTTGTCAGAGCTAGCCGGTGGGGTGAAGCGACATCCAGTGGTCCTCAACCGGCGGCGACGAGCGAGCGGGGATCAATATTCGGCCGACCATTGCCGGATTCAGTGACGTATCTCGACGTGCTCGTCGGACATCGATCTTGGGTGCCGCCGGAATCTTTTTTATTTACAAGCGTAAAAATCGAACGAAAATCCAGGTTAATTTCAGGCAAGTTTATAAAACGCGGCAACCTTCTCTCGTGACTACCCTCCCGTGTGCAGTCTGGATCGTCGTCACTGGAGGTAGACGAGGCATCGACACGAGAGCAACGGGCCTCGTGGTAAGAAACATTCGTCAAAAATAAAAGATTAAACTGATATGTATGTATATTATTAAGCAGCTGTTGCCGACTTTTAACGTTGTAGAAATAATTACGCCATCCGAGAAGAACATGATCCAACGATAATTTTAAGTACATCCTTTTAGTTTGAAAGGTTGTACTTAATTTATTTCGCCTGATAACACGCCACACTTGACTTCAGCAAATTATTAGAAGAAAATTAATAAAATAGAAGAAATGGCTTTAGAAAATAAATAGAAGAAAATTTTTTAAATTAATACAATGAAATATAAGTTAGACTTGTTTATTTATTTAGCCTAATAACACGCCATACTTGACTTCAGCAAATTAATAGAAAAAATTAATAAAATAGAAGAAATGGCTTAAGAAATTAATGGAAGAAAATTTTTTAAAATCAATACAATAAAACATATGTTGGACATTTTTATATAATTTCTAAAAGAATTACACTGTTTAACAAAATAGAACTCATTTTCTGTCTCGGAAACAAAATCAGCCAAATTTATTTGGGTCGCTGAATCCGAACATGTTAGTGAACTTTTTTATTAGTCCTTTTTATTAGTTTCGATGATATAGGAGATTGAATCCCCAAAAAATCAAATTTTTTGGTGGATTGTAATTTTACAACGAAACATGATAAATGATTCGAAAACGTCTTTCAAAAGGAAGCTTATATTGTCTACTTTATCAAGAAAAAATGTATGTGTACCGAAGACGTCCGATGACAGACAGAAATGTATATTATTCAAACAAGTTTTGTAGCCAAATATAAACTAAATAAATAACAATGGCTCGTATGATAAAAATCGAAGTAATCATAGAAGGGGCTCAGAGCCTGGACAGGGCCTAGACAGGTTTTTGACACTGCAACCCTGTCTGGGCTCTGAGCCCCTTCTTTTTCCAAATATAAACATTAGCACGAACAACATGCATTCGCTCAGTCGCCTGTTTCGTATCGTTATTAATTTTTATCATCGCGAGCCTTATATCATATTATTTAAAAAATTCAAATTTTTGCAAATGAATTTTAACTTTATTTGCAAGAATTTGCGTAAACTTGTCTGCCTAATAAAGTTAAAAATTATCTCAATGATGCAGATAATGTACTTGCAAAAAATTTTGCATTTTTTTTCTATAAAGTAGAAGATACAAGCTTTCTTTGAAACGTTTTCGAATCATTTAAAATGTTTCGTTGTAAAGTTACAGCCAACCAAAACTAGCGAAAGGGCGATTTTTAAGGATTTCAACCACAAAAAGTATATCGAGACTAGAGTTAATAAAAAATTTTCTCTAACATATCCAAGTTCAGCAACTCCAAATTAGTCAATTAAAAAATCGACTGACTTCATTTCCGAGACATTTTTGTTGTAGGCCAGTGTCATCACAAAAACACTTGTAAACCTGGTAATCTTTGGTAACTCAACTGTCAGATAATTTGAACGATGCAAAGCTTCCACTGATAACCGCTACCGCTATCTTCATAATATAACTTCATATTATTTATTTTAAATAAATACAGATGTCATTCCAAATGGTTTCACAATGGCTGCTCAGTTTAACGTAAAACACTTCTCTACCGAGAAATATGACGTGGGCAGGCGAAATGGAAAGGTATCGAGACGCTATATTGACATGAAGCTATTTGTAGACTTGAGTAGCGTTCGTCGCCGATCAGCCCCCGCTTTTTTTTTCTCCTACGCGTATAGCTTTTGCCCCCGCGGATTCGGCTAATAACCGATGCCATTTTCGAGCGGGACTGCCTGCGGACATATTTTTTCGCCGAAAGTCGGTGCACGCTGAGTATTTGGCCGTTTGTCAGTCTGCGTAAATATGCGACAATGCCGTCCTTTGTACGGGCCGTCTATCGGCGATGTTTGCCAAATAAAAGCCTATATAGATCTCTTTGTCTCTGTTCCTGTGCTGCGCGCGGTACGAATCCCCCAATGATACGCCTAGTTGGGAACGAAACTACGGCATTGCCCCTCCGGTGTGCGATACAAAGGGGCATCAAGTTGGCGGTAATGGTGATGCAAAGTATTCGAGGGAAACACGTGCAGGTCGAGGGGGGGCCTCTCCCTTCATCCGAGATGCCCAGTTAGTATTCAGACTCGCTTAATCGTACGCGACAGTCACCATAAGTCGCGCGAGATCGATGAATCCCGCAGCCTTGGATCGATAGATCTCTGGAACGAGCGAGTCGTAAAACGGCAAATTAAACTGAACTGGACAATTTTGCCATTTATTGAGGGACATCTAACAATAAGTATTTCTTGTGCGTAATAGTAGATAATCGAGAAACTTTTTCGTGTCTTGGGACGGTTTGTAGATCGCAGCTTTTATTTGTGCACGTTACAAAGTATACTTTTCGTTGCTTTTATATATAATTGTATTTATAAGTTTGTTTATCGTAATCTTTTTATCACTATTCATTTCATTTTCAGTTCACTTTCTCTGATTTTATTTAATATTAGATATAAAAAACATCAAGCAAACTAATTTCTTTAATTAACTTTATAGAACGATTTTTCGTAATTGGGTTATAATTGAGAAGTTTTTATAAAGACCAAGGGGATTTTTTAAATGCTGAAACAGAATGGGTTCATGAGTCTGTAGTAGCAAATTCATAATATCATATCTTCTTAAAAAGGGCAACGTTGTTTCTCTTCTCGATTTAACTTACGGATCTCTATAATTTTAATAAAAAGAACGAATGATTCGCAAAATATTTGGCATACTTAAAAAAAGTTCTGTATAATTTGTTCTACGAACGACGAAAGTACCCTTTGTCGACGGTGACCGTCGACACTTCGGGCGTTGAGAGTTAAAGCCGCGCCATTCCAGGTGCCATCCGAATCTCGATCGAAGATTTAGTTATCGATCCCCGGTCTTGTTCTGCGGACAATGGAAAATTAGGGATGCTCAATGACCCTCACCATTTCACGGCATAAAAGTCGCTGCAGCGCCGGATGAAATATGGGGTTCGCTGCAGGTGTATACGAGCCGAACCCTACCCTTCTTTTGGCATATTGTTCAGGATGTGACACTAACGCCGGCCGTGTAATTATATCGATACGGTTGGAGCATTATCCTGTGGAGAAAAGACCCTGTCCGCACGGGCCATCCTAGCTTCCCTTTGGTCACGCGGAGAAAGGGTGCCCACGCAACGGTGCTGCACGACGCCAAGGCCTCGCGACGCTTTGTTTTGCACATGTTGTGAAAGTGCAGGGTGCATTGATGACGGAATTCCTTTCGCGAGACGCGGACAGCCCGATTGCCGAACTCGCCCCTACCACGGTAAAATTTGAGTAATTGGACCCAGCAGCGCGTTCTTTTGCGCCCGGGAATAAATATAAAAACTTTTATTAAACGCAGTTACTAGCGTCGTTATCAGCCACGTCACTCGGAGATGAGCACGGTATGTGCTCTCTAAAAATCAATCAGTGAATTATCACTGAAAATAGTGAATATGATTTACAGTTATACACTGATAGAAAAATATGTAGCATTTGAAACTATAATCGCATAGTAAAATAATTAAATTTTAAAAAGTAAACACAATTACAATAATAGTAAATTTAACTACATTTTTATCATCCACCCTTACTAATCACATGGCAAACAAAAGTGAAGTGGTTCGGAATGTCCTCACTAGAGGGACGCGCGGTATAAGACTTTCTCGTAAGAAGAAAACCGCATAGGATGTTGTAAATACGGATAAGTTTGTACATTTGTATAAGATTACTTATCTTTTCTTTGAATTATGCTTTCTTGTACTATTCTTTATGAGTGCAAAGTGATGTGACCAATGAACATAGTGAACGCAATGTATATAAAAAAAGCGGGCAATATTACTTCCAATATAAATACGATCATTACTATTACATATAGTTATTTGAAATTTTACTTGTGGTTGTTGCCAAATCAAAAGCTCGTTTTGGTTTACGACAACCATATCATAAGTTGCATGAACTAATATTGTGTCTATGAGAACTATAATACGCTGTTAGGTCAACCATAACTTACGTAGTTGGAAGAATTATAAAAGTGTGGTTGGCTCCTAAAATGATTATAAATTACAGTGAGTTTGTGGTAACTGCAACCAATTTTTTTCACGGAAAATTGTAATCTTTATAATAGTATCGCGTGTTTTTTATTATCCTAATTCGTCAAATTTGGATCTTTCGTGTTGCCTGGCCAATATCTTTGAAATTTCGGTTTAATTTAATATTTCAAAGAAAAAGTATATTTTTCGCTAAAATAACACAAAAAGCATCTTAGTCTCGTATAAGATATAACGGGTCGTTATACTGACATTTGATTTTATACATTTCTGAAACTTAGTTGAAAGAAACGATGTTTCTTCGAGGACTTTCAGTTACACATGTGTGACACTTTTAGTTACAAACAAACTTCTATAAGCCTTGTCCAAACGATTTTAAAGAAGCTCGAATAATCGGCGTGGCTTAAGATCAATGGGTTCAATATCATAGATAACTATTTAGAAACTATAACAAAAGAGGTTTGAAATTTTTTCTTTTATAGAAAAACGAACCAATCCCAAAAACAAGTACAGGGAATTCCGGAAGCGTGTTAGGCAGGGACTGGGTTTACATTTTGGTTTACCTCCGACAAATATATCTGGATT